TCCACAAGAGATAGTTAAAAAAAAGGAACATTAAGAATGTTCCTAACAGTTTATTTTGTTTTATGTGAGCATGGGTGCAATATACATGGAAGAAAAATCTCTTTTCTCGTTCTTAAATTTTTTTTTATATTTTGTTTAAAATGATTTTTAAGTTTTTGTTGTATTATTGTATTTATATTTATTGTTTATTTATTCATATATTTTTTAGAAACAATATATTATGTTATTTTTGTATTTAAATTTTGTTTTAATATAAATTTTAAATTTATTTCTAAAGCCAACTAAAAAATGCCAAATATTTCAAAATGGCACTTTTTGAAATAAAGAATTCCATTTAGGAAAGTAGAGAAGTGAAAGTAAAGTATATAGAAATCAAATTTCCCGCGTGTGTGCCATACGAATCTGGAGGGGGTAGTGTTGCTTTTATTTTATCACAAAGTGCGCACTTCTCTATACTACTGTTCTATTACAACAATGTAGCGCTGAATAATAACTAAAACTAGAACAATGCTAGAACTAACACTAGACTTAGAACTAGAAAGTTTAGCCATACATCTGTTAAGACTGCTAAACCCGAATGTTTCCAATTCCAGGTCTAGTGTTAGTTATACTTTTAGTTCAATAAAAATATACAACAATCTAGCACTGAATAACAACTAAAATTAAAAATGACAACATTCGGGTTAGTTTAATGCTAGTGTCTAGTATTAGTTCTTATTTTAGCTGTTGTTTAGCGTTAGATTGTTGTATATTTTTCTTCGAACTAACATTAGATATAGAACTAGAACTAATCCAGTTCAAAATGGCATTAAACAAAACCAATTTTGCAACTGCCATAATCAAATTGGCATTATATAATCAAAATCAAAATGACATTAATCAAATTGGCATTCAATAATTTAACAAAACAATCTTTAATCCGTGATTAACATTTTAAATACATAATTGTATACTTGGTAATAAACAATATTGTTAACTCAAAAGGTGACATCCTCCATGTTGAAAATAGAGGTGATGTGCTTATGAATTCTGGCTATAAATGCGTTACAGTTAGTTTAATTAAGTTTTGGAATATTTTGCCTAGTTATATTTTGTAATTTTCGAATTCTCTACTCGGTTTGAGACAAATTTTCTCTGTCATTTCCCCCCAAAATATTTGTTTAGCGCCTTTACACCTGCTTTCAAAATTGACCATGCGTGTTCAATTGGGTTTAGCATTGGACTTTTTGTTTGTTTCGTCTAAATAGATTATGGACGTGTTTTCACTATGAAGTTCAAGCAAATTTCTTATGTATTGAGATGTTTTTGTTTTCACTTCGACGGTGTTGGTTCTCTCCGGTTCAAACTGTATTTGTTTTAATGTAAACATGAGACCATCAAGGTGTTGTCGAATACACTCCTGACTTACAATAAGCGGAAACTCATTTTGTAATGTTCCTGGTAACAGCTTACGTGTGGTTTTAGGATTTTCTTCAATTTCAATTTTAAAGAAACGGTGATGTCAATCTGTAATTTCTATTTTACATTTACTTCCTCTTGGTTTTTATTCTTCTTGATTTTTTATCCATCTGAACGCTGTTCTTTTTGCAACACCAAGAATTTGAGTTAAACTGCGCCCGTTGCCATTCGTAAATAATTCAAGAATAGCAGCATTTTGTAGACAGTTTGTTAGTAGTAACAATTTGTAATTGATTTCGATTTTTATTAATGCCAATTTGATTACGATAGTCGTCAAATTGGTTTTGTTTAATGCAGTGGCGGTTTTATGGGACATTCGCTAGTCTATTAAGTAGTTAATACAGCAAAAAACGTGAAAATAAACTTAAATCAACAATAAATAGCAATACTTTGATATAGGGCTTAAATTCTCTTTTTAAAATGCCCCATTATTTGTTGTTTTCCTCTGTACTTCAGTTTCAATGAATGCAAGTTTTACATCAGTTATTTGAAGCTGATATTAGATTAAAAACTGGATCAACTATTGACAAAGAAACACAAAAATTAATTTCTAAGGAAAGCTTACGATAGAAAAATATGCTTCAACGACTGATGCAGATTATATTATATTTAGCTGAAAATAATATGGCTTTCAGACGATCTTCTGATAAACTATTTACTTTTTAATAATGGCAAATTTCTAGGGCTCGTACAATTATTGACAAAGTTTGACCCTATCATGGAGGAGCACGTCAAATTAGCAATAAAAGGTGAGTTCGTTGACCATTATTGTAGCAAATATGTACAAAATGAATTGATAGAATTAATGGCAAGTTAAATCCACAATATTATCCCACGTAAGGAATTCAAAGTATTTTGCTACCATAGCTGACTGTACTCCTGATATAAACCATAAAGAGCAACTCTCCCTAATATTAACTGCACTGACATAACCGAGGACGCTTTAAGCATTAAAGAATATTACATTAAATTTTTGGAAATTGATGATACAACTTTACTGTCTCACAGAAGCTATTTTAAAAACATTTGTGATTATGACCTCAATATAGACGATTGCAGGGGACAAGGTTTTGATAATGGCGGCAACATGAAAGGAAGAAACAAGGGCTTGCAAAAGAGAATTACTGGCCTTAATCCGTTAGTTTTATTTGTACCATGTTGATGTTACAATTATAATTTTGTCTTTTAATCTTTATTCGTAATCTTGCAATAAATATTTACTTTATTAGCAGCATCAGTAAATATTTAGATGGAACATTTTAAGGAAGCATCTGAAAATCTTCTTCTTCTTCTCTTAATACTTTTGCCTGATGGCGTCGGATAAATCTTTTTGCTATTCCTCCATCCACCTCTTCCACTCCCTCCGGTTCCTGGCTAATTCCCTTATATCTGCTATAGGCTTCCCTATCTTCTTCTTAACTTCTGCTATTCTTTTCTCCCACTTCTTTCTAGATCTTCCGCTCTTTCCCTTATCCTTATTCTTTGCTGCAAATACCTTTTTTAGTGTTTTGTTATGCTCCATTCTAATTATTTAGGCGTACCAGTTTAGTTGCTTTCTCTCTATTTTGCTGATTATCTCCTCTTGATCTACTCCCAGTCTTATTTCCTCATTCCTTATCCTATCCCACTACGTCATCTGCCACCGAGTTGTACACTTTCAATTTTATCCCTTTATCTATCTCCTTCTTCCCAAAAATTCTTCTGTTTAGAGTATATATACGTTGTTTGTTTTCTTTATGCTTGCATTTATCTCTAAATCTATCCTTCCATCTTGTGCTATTATACTGCCCAAGTACTCATATGATGATACTTCTTCTATCTTTTGTTCTTTAATATATCTATATTTCTTTCGGGTTATTTCTTATTTCCTTTTTATTTATTACTACGATTTTACATATATTTACGTTCAGTTCTAGCCCCATCTTTTCAAATACTTCTGTCCATATTTCAACTAACTTCTTTGCCTTTTTATATGGTTCTCTGCTATCAGCACTATATCGTCACCATAGAGTAAATTATCTATTTTTACTGGTTCCAAACTTTTATAACATATTACTGTTTGTATTTATATTTTNGAAAATGACAACACAAAAACTAGTAATATTTTGTTTCTTGAGGTTGCGATTCTGTAAATCTTAAATTCTGTATAAATCATTCTTTTTCTTAAAGCTAAATAAAATCCTTATATCTAAATCTTTAAATTTAAATTTACAGCTAAATTCTGTATAAACCCGGCATAAGTAAGGTAAGTTCTTAGTTACTTATAGTACTTTTCGGTACTATATAAACTGCTCTCGTTTTTTAAAATTTACTTGTGTGTTTAACATGGCTGAGGTAAGTTGGATATTTTGATCATAATATTAGATATAATTTTATTGTTTTTAGAGTACTGAATTCTGCATGTTTCCACTGCGTTTGGTTGAAGGAGAGGAGACTTAGTGAACCGTCTGAGGGAATGGGGTTTTCATTCCCAATGAAGGCGATTATAAGCAGATTAGATTACTAGAGCAATTTATTGATGGATATTTGTGGGTATGCAACGGACGTGTTTCCATTAGGAAAGAGAAAAAGCAAAAGTGCGGTACGACTGTATCGTTTCGAACCGATACATTTTTTGCACAGTCTAAGTTGGAAATATCCCAAATTTAAGGTTTCATCTTTTTGTAGGTGGAGAAAGGTAATCTTGCACTTATCGCAAAGCTAACCAATATGTCCTTAAGAACTGCGGTCGACTGGGCATCATTCTGTCGGGAGGTCGTATTGGATAAATACCTGGTGCACCCGGAGATGTTAGGCGGTCCGGACTCTGTCGTCGAGATTGACTAAAGTAAATTTGGCCGGCGAAAATATCACCGTGGACACTGCGTTGAGGGCCAATGGGTTTTTGGCGGATACGAACGTGGAACAGGGCGCGTGTTCATGGAGACCGTAGAGGACAGATCAGCGGATACCCTTCTCCCCATCATCAAAAAATGGATACGGCCAGGTACCACCATAATATCCGATTATTGGAGGGCCTACGATTGTTTGGACATGGAAGGGTACGTGCATTTAAAAGTTAACCATTCGATTAATTTTGTAGACCCCGAAACAGGCGCGCATACTAACGCCATAGAGAGTACGTGGCAACATGCTAAGGGTAGTATGTCCTCCTCAGGCCGGACGAAGACCCATCTGCCCAGTAATCTTGCGAGGTATACATATGTTTCTTAACCCTCATCCGGACTTTGTGTCAAATTGACACAATTTTCAAAATTAATTGATGATATTTTTGTTATTTACGGTCGAATCAACTAGATATTTTGGCTCAGTGAACGAATTCATATTTATTTTAAATTTCCATTTTTGTTTTTGCCATAATTGTTACCTAGTAGCCGGAAAAAAAAGCATCCTTAATCCGGACTTTATGTGTCAGATTGACACAGCGTAAAGTGACACTTTACTAGGTCCCAATTTTGACTTTGCAAGCAGATGTTATTGTAACAGGTTGTCGTAACAGGTCTTTGCAATAAAAATTTCATTCTAAACAATTCATTTAGTGAATGCGTGCTTACTATGGATTGCTTTTATTAGCTGGTGTTTATCGTTCTAAAGGTGAATGTATTGAAGAATTGTGGAATGATAAACATGGCCGCCCAATTTTCGCTGCAACTATGGCAATTAGCCGATTCAAAGACATCAACCGTTGTCTACGATTCGACGATAAAGAGCAAAGAGAAAACGAAAAAGATAAACTTGCTCCTATTCGCTTTATTTTTGATAATTGGGTTCAACGGTTGAAACAGATGTATATTCCGGGAGATTTTGTTACTGTCGATGAGCAATTGCTTCCGTTTCGTGGCCGTGTACCATTCAAGCAGTACATCCCATCAAAACCGGCCAAATATGGCATCAAATTATGGGTTGCAACTGACTCTGAGACGTACTATGCATATAATTTTCAAGTGTATACAGGTCGTGATAAAAATTGTGCTCGTGAAACAAGTCAAGGGGAACGTGTTGTTCTTGATATGTGTGTAGGTAACTTCTTCGTATATTCTAGTTTTTTTTTTTTATTTCGATCTTTTTCTTCCGTTAGGGCTAAATGGAGAAATGTCACTTGCGATAATTTTTTCACATCGTATCGTTTGGCATGTGAATTGAAAAAACGCCAAATGACAATCGTCGGTACGATTCGCAAAAATCGAAAAGAAATTCCACCCATCTTGGTCAATATGAAAAAACAACCATTGCACCACACCGAGTTCGTTTATGACCACCATATTCGAGCATGTATGTTGTCATATGTTCCGAAGAAACGTCGATTTGTTACTTTACTTTCGACGTATCATTCGACTATTCGAATTGACATCAACGATTCCGCCAATCCTGAGAAGAAACCGGACATAATAAAATTGTACAATAAAACAAAGGGTGGCGTCGACGTGTTAGACCAGATGGTTAGTACGTATCGATGCAAGCGAAAAGTGAATAGGTGGCCTGTTGCACTGTTTTGTAACATGCTTGACATTTCTGCTTACAATGCTTTCGTTTTATTTACCCAAATGAATACCAATTGGAATAGTGCAAAAAGAAGTTTTCGCAGAAAATTATTTTTGATAGAAATCGACCAAGCATTATGTTTTCCTTATATGAAGCAACGAAACACCAGACCACGGGGTACAAATGCGCTGGCTGTTGTAGATAGCGCCCGCAAGCAATCAAATGAACAACCATCAACATCGGGTGCTTCAAATTCGCAAGATGCACATGTATCATCACCAGAGCCGCGGTGTTTCGGGCTGTTGATGTCACCATCTGTATAGAGCAGCGAACGGGTTATAGTGTAGTAGTAACATGCTTCTATCAAGCACATCGATGTGCCGCAACGTAACGATACTGGTTAAATGCTGGCCTATGTAAAATTTGGGGGGGTTCTCTGCGGTGCAACGTTCAATACGTGTTTGGCCGATTGTCCGACTAAAACTCAACCAGTGGCGTGGTATACTATATGTGGCGTGATGTGGCCCGAGTCTCTACCGTAAGGCGACGAGCCGCCAATGAGTTGCCTGACAACGTCGCGGCTCTGATCATCACCATTATTATTGGAACACGCACCACCGATCAAAAAAAGAGCCCGTTGTCACATGTGCCCATCTCGCCCAAACAGTAATCTACACAGCATTCGCTGCGACAAATGTGTGAAATACGTTTGTCCAGCTCATCGATTTACTGTTTGTGAGGATTGTGTAAAGTTGATTAGCTAAATGATTTTTTGGGTTACTCTCCTTTTTGTATATGAAATTTGTATGTATTTTTTTCAATAAAATAAAAAAAAGTAAAGAAATATCTTTATTTTCATCTATTCAAATGCATTCACTCAAACCTATCATAAGAAAAATAGACAGACAATTATTGTCTGCCATTGTGTCAATTTGATACATGAAGTCCGGATTTGGTTCTAGAAACGAAGTCCGGATGAGGGTTAAGCGAGCGAGATAGCAGAGTGCACGACCTTCCCTGGTAAATTGCACGAGCCGCTCCGTGTCTTTTACACTCGTTTACGTACGAAACTTTTTACACATTGCTTGTTCAGATTGGGGCCATCCTTAATTACCAGCCATTAACCCCATTATCCACCGATCCCAATGATACGACTCCATTAACCCCGTCACACTTGTGTGTATGGAGCGGCAAGCTTAGGATATTTTATCGTATTATTTGTTTGTTTAGTTAAGTGTTGAAATGCGTTGTTGTGTTTATATTTAAGTCTTTAGGTAAGAGTTTTGGTTATAATTTTAAATAAAAGAGGAGCTGCTTGCGAGCTCTAAACTGTAGCAATGAATCGTAATTTTTGCAACGATGACGAAGACTTTGTCAAAAACATAATTTTTTCGACGAAGGGACATTTACATTGAGTGGAGAAGTAAATAGACAAAGTTGTCGGTATTGCGCTACCCAAAATCGAAATTAGCTAAGAAAGTCGCACACCCAATATCCGCAAAAGATTTGAGTAAACCTTAAGTGCAACCAATATCACAATATAGGTATTGCAATACACGATTTGCGTATTTGGTTGCATAGTTGCAATGATGACATCGGGTACGATAATTAATTAACACAGTGTATATGTTACAGTCAAAACTCGTTCTCCGTCAAAACTAGTTTTAACCACAGAAATCGGTCAAAAATAGTTTTGACTGCAAGCCGCGGTCAAAATCCGTTTTGACTGATATACAGTGTGTCCGTAAAGTAACGGATATAGGCGATAAAATCATAATAAATGGTTTATGGGAAAATCCCTGAAACGAGTCTAAAGATTTAAATTTTTTGCAATTTTTTGCAATTTTTTGCAATTTTTTGCAATTTTTTGCAATTTTTTGCAATTTTTTGCAATTTTTTGCAATTTTTTGCAATTTTTTGGTGCAGTTTTCTAATTTTGTCCGCCATTTTTAAACGAGTTATGACGTCATCGATATTTTTTTTAAATGGCAATCCCCCATTTTTATTGCGGAATATGAAAGAGGATTTTTTTCTGAATCTAGTACAGTCAATATTAATATTGGTTACATAAGAAAAT